AACTGGTATAAGATAAACCTTGTTGAATGTAGTATCAGAGGCTGTATGTAGATTAAATGAGAGGCATGTGTGTACAACACTTTAAAGCTGTATAAATGCTTTTGCACCACTTTAATGGTGTTGGTGTTTGCACGCCTCGGTGGGGTATTGTGCATTAATACCAGCCGCTGTAGGAAATTTGGTGGCATAATGCACTTAAAATGACTTGGGGCACAGCAAACTAACTCCTTTGAGGAGTTTTAGTTTGCTGCCCTACAACTGTGGAGTGAAGCACCGGGCTCCGTACACCTTTGCGGGTCTGCAGGAATCCCTGCAGGTAGTTTCATAGTTTGTAGGGTCAGAAGGGGCCTGAGTAGATCATCAAGTCCAACCCCCTGCCATGGCAGGAAGGAGTACTGGGGTCAAACGACCCCAGCAAGGTGTTCGTCTAGCCTCCTTTTGAAGACCCCCAGGGTAGGAGCCAACACCTACTCTTGGAAGTTGGTTCCAGATCCTAGCCACCCTGACAGTGAAGTAGCGCCTCCTGATGTCTAGTCTGAATCTACCCTCTGCCAGCTTGTGACCATTATTTCTAGTCATTCCTGGTAGTGCTCGGGGGCACAGGGACTCGCCCAATGCCTAGTTTGTAACCGGCCATTAGATCCCCCCTCAGCCTTCTCCTGTGGACGCTGAACAGGTTCAGGTCCCTTAGCCTCTCCTCGTAGGGCTTGCCCAATCATGCAAGTGGCCCTCCTCTGGACCCTCTCCATGTTGTCCACATCCCTCCTGAAGTGCAGCGCCCAGAACTGGATGCAGTACTCCAACTGCAGCTGATGAGAAGGGAGTTCCACCAGCCTGTAGGTCTGCTGCTGGTTCTTCCCCCCCAGGTGGAGTACCCTGTACTTTTCAGTGTTGAAACCCATCCTGTTCTCATCCGCCCACCCCTGTAACCTGTCTAGGTCCGATTGTAGCCTATTCCTCCCTTCTAGCGTGCCCACTTCCCCCCACATCTTAGTGTCATCTGTGAATTTGAACAGGGTGCTTTTCACCCCCTCATCCAAGTCTCTAATGAAGATGTTGAACAGTGCAGGCCCGAGGACCGAGCCCTGGGTGACCCCACTGCCCACATCCCTCCAGGTTGAATAAGACCCGTCCACCCCTTTCTGGGTGTGACCCTCCAACCAGTTAGTGACCCAATTGACTGTGTAGTAGCCTGACAGCATCCTGGAAAAGCAGCGAGCTTGATCTTCCCCCGCTCCGGGTGCTTGCCTGAGCTGCACAGGGGCCTGGTTCTTCCCTCTGCAGCTGCGGTGCCCCCTGGGACCACCACAGCCAGGTGCCTACGGGTGGGTGCAGCCTGGGGAGGGGCTGCAGCTACTGTGGAGGGAAGCACCAGCTGCACCCGCAGCCCAGGGACCACTCTGCCCACCAGCAGCTCACCATCCCCTCCCTGTCAGAGGCAGGCAAGTCAGTGGGGTGTGTGCACGACATGGGGGTTTAATTAGCCCTAAGTTGAAGCAGTGTTTTTTTTAAATTCACCACTTCAATTTAGGGCCCCCGTTTCATCTACACACACCCAGACTTAACTGATTTGGGTCAAAGCGGTTTATGGAACTTCTGTCCCAGATCCCTTCCTGGTTTAAGTTAAATTAGTTCCCCAGCAGCCCAGCATGCTTTCCAACCCTGTGCTCTCTGCTTCCATGGAGCAGGGCGGGCCCCGCCCCCAGCTGCTATCAGGGACTTCTCCATCCGTGGCAGCCAGGAGCAGGGTGGATTCTCCTGACTCACCCCTTCCCCTGCTGCTTCCAGCTGGGCCAGGGGAGTAAAGACACCACTGCCAGTTTTGCCCCTCCACTGGGCATTCCCACCCCCCACACAACCTCATCAGCTGCCCCACAGGACCTGCCAGGCTGCAGGCTGCACCCACTGAGAAGCCCCACACTATAGGACAGTCTGGGGCAGGGGAGCTGCAGCCTGGGATGAAAGCCCCATCCCTCCTCCAGTGTCAGCCATGCTGCAGCCCTGCCACAGCCTTGTGGGTGGAGTGGACTGGGAGCCACAGAGGCTGTGCCAGACAGGGCTGATGGGCATCACAGGATGGTTCCAGCCATGCAAGGGGGAGGACTCGCTTGACACCCACAGGGAACTTGGGGCAGGCCTGGCTCCCCAGCAGGGGCGTGGAAGAGGTGTCAGGCTGCAGCTCTGCCCAGGAGGCATTGGGCAGCCCCAATGCTCTGACCCCCTCCAGGCTGGCTTCAGCAAAGCACTGATGCCAGGAGCCATACTCTGTCATTCCCAGAACACAGCAGGGGTCTCCAATGGGGGTGGGAGAGGGAGGGGAAGAAGGCTGCTGTTTTTCTTCCCCACTTCCTTCTCAGCTGGCCTGCTGGGCAGAGAGAATGTCACAGTATGATCCACCCAGCTCCTGGCTGCAGGGAAACCCGCAGTCCACACCTGGGACTTCAGTTCAGGTCTGCCTGGCTGGAGTGTAGCAGCCCCTGCCAGGCTTTTCCCCACTACTTGCCACTCGAGCAGCTGGGATATGGCCATACACCAGCCCTGGGCCAGCTCCCTGAAGTGAAGGGGAGAGGGGGATCCCTCCTCCCCTTCGCCTCAGGGGGCCAGCCTGGGCCGGCACGTGGTCATGCCTCTGCTGCTCCAGTGGCAACCTGGGGGGAAGTGGGGGGAAGCCCAGCAGGGGCTGCTATGCCCCTGCCAAACAGAGCCCAGCTGGGGCCTCATGCTGGTGGGAGGCGGGGTCCCACCTCTGGCCCAGGCTGGCATCTGACCACACCCCTGCTGCTCAAGAAGCCAGTGGGAAAAAGCCTACCAGGAGCTGCTTACCCCCCCTCTCTCCAGGTACACCCTGGCTGGGAACCATGCGGGATTAAACTCCTCCCCAGTCAGACTCAGTGGCCTCCCGGGGCCTGGCCATGTTCAGCTCGAGCAGTGAGGGGGGAAAGACCTGAAAGGCATCTCTGCCAGGTTCCCTCCAGCTTTCCTGCTATTGCCAAAGGGAAGGGAGGGCTTGCTGTAGCACCCTTGTGGTCTGTGCCACTGCAGGCATGTGACTGCATTTCTGGAATCAAAAGTGAATGTCTATTCACTTGCTTCTCAGTTCAATCTACGCAGTTTAGACTAACCTGCAAAAGACTTAATCAGTTCAGGCTCAGGCTTTTTGAATGTCTGTACTTAGCACTACAGTGGTTGCTAGTACACGCTTCACGCGTGTGGTTGTGTGGGGACGGGGGGGGGGGGGGGGGGGGCGCAGTTTTAACTGAGCCAAAAGAACCATTGAATGAACTGACTAAAGAAGCAGACGTGCAACTGGTACACTGCTGTACCCTCACTTTCTGAAGTAATTTTACCATGGAGTGGAGTGACCTAGACCAACATAAAGATGTACATCATGCACCCACTCCCCTTTTACTACAGAGTAATTTACTCCATAGCAAACATATCAAGTGTCTGCACTGACTAAACATAAAACAATATACAGTGAAGCCTCATAGGCACTAAACTTTATAGCTAGATAATTTTGAAGGCAAGATTCTTCCTAAGATACACACAGGAAAGGATGAACATAAAATGTAGAAGACTAAAAATAAGATGCATACTACAAAGTGCAAATGAACCTTTTTAGAGAAGAACCCAAGATTGAGGGGAAAAGATTCCTGTAGACAGGCAGATGAGATGCTCAATTATTAGGATAAACTGTTTAACGCCACAAGAACAAAGAGATTGTAGTACATTACACGTCTAAGTTTTATACAGGGATAAATATTATAGCAGACATATAATGCAAATAATTTAAATAGTATAATATCATAATGCATAGTACATAAGACATATTGAAGTTGCATAAGCAGCCTTGTTAACAAAAGGTTCAACTTAGAAGTCTTAGGATTCTCCTAATGTACTATGATGAAATTTAGAACTGCTCCTTGAATAAAGAAGAGCTATATGCTTATATGGTATATTTGATTCATGGGGTCTGTGCCTTTTGTGTAAATAGGATCTTGAAAGCTGTTTAATACCATAGCTGTAATTTCATTTTTCATAGGCACCACAATGCCTTCAAAAACCTCTGAGCAACATAAACCCTATTAAGAAAGATTCAACATATTTCAGGAAACTTGTCAAGATTTTTTCAATTCACAATAGTTTTCAAATCAATAAGCTGTCTACATATTGTTTATATAAATGACTGTTTCTCTATTAAAGGAAAAAAATAAATAAATAAAAATTGCTGCTCCATCCTTCACCCTGGATTTTTAAATGTCCACTCATCCACACTCCATAGCATTTGCTAGTGTAACTCTAGCTATGTTCCACTACATAATAAAAACTAGATAATTCTGTATTGTGACCATCTTTAAAAGTTAAACCCTTACATTAAGTTCTGGCAAAGAATAATTTTACATTTTAAAAAGGCTACGGGAAAATATCATAAAAGGCAAAGCTTATTACACCAATACCCTGAAGACTGAATGCGTACCACTCTTCAACAAATTCAAATATTAGCCAAAAAGTTAGCAAAAGTGTAAAAACAGATCTTGAGACAACCTGTGGAAGTCTTTCAGTTTACTTCAATAAGCACTGATCAGGATTAGGCTCATTAAAAAATAAAATAAAACCTTTCACAAATCTTTGCTGTAATACTGAGAAACAGAATTATGACGCTTTCTTTTTGGTTAGGCAGGCTGAAATATTTTATGAATACAGTTTCCTGTCCTGTAAGGTACAGTACTATAACCACAAAAGAAGCTGTAGCTGATGAACAGTCTAACATTCAAGTCCAATAGAAGAAATAAACACACTTCATAAATTTTAAAGAATACAGTATTTAAATTAACATTTTCTTATTTAACTCAGGAACTTACTATGTTCTTGCCATGACTACATTCAATGTTTTTAATACATTGCGTGCGTACATTTTTCAACTACAGCAACCCTTCCCCCCCCAAACACACACACACAGACACAACAGCGAATGTTATAAGATTTAATAACTGCCCTACCCTCTTTTGCAGAACTATTGGAGTAACTGTAGGCAAAGTTACCCTTCTTGCATACAAGTTCATGTCTGCTCTTCACAGAACTAGATTAACAACCTGCGTTCAGGTCATACATGAAATAAAGCAAGTCCTTGGCAGGATTCCCTGAAGCTTCAGTTCTCAGACCCAAATACCTTAGAGTCAGTGAAAAGAAACAGCTAAGAATGCAATAAATGTCATTCTGTTTATATGATCCCAATCCTACCCAAAGCCAATAAAGGGTGACTCTGGGATAGAGCTAACTAGGAACCAACCAATCAAAGAGCTTGAAAACCTTTCCTTTGTCCTTGGAAACGCATTCTGATACTTTTGTTTAAGATATTTAAAGAACCAGATTAACATGCATTTAAATCACTCTGAATTGTCTCCTCTCTCCACCTCTCCTTCTCTTCTCCTCAATATTGAAGAAAGTAGCAGTGTAATTCTCTGCCGCCTTTGCTGGTAATTCTGGCTTTTCATTAGAGTGTGCAATTTATATGAGCTAAAAAATATTTATACATCTGCAATTTTTTCAAAATGTGCTCATTTGAGATATGTTTGTCTTCAAACTTAAAACAAGGTGGATTATTCAGTAGACGTGATTAGAGCTGTAAAATGAGATAGATTTTTTTAAAGGATTTCAGATATTACTTGAGTGTGAATAACAAGGTAAATCTACAACAATAGCTCATATCAAGAGTTCATAAAATTCAAACAATGATGCAACTATTGCAGTCTTTAAAAAAACTAGTATAAGTAAATTATTTAGCACATGCCTTATGAGCTGTGTACATATCCTTGAAGTGTCCAGAGCTGACTTGGCAAATTCCACAGCAGTCCATGCCAAAACTACCTTATCTTTCTTGATAGTGATTTTTTCTTGGAATAATTGGAAGATGAAAACAGCCATTAATGCTCAGAATAGGGTAAGGGAAAAAATACTACAGGCCACAATAAAGAAATAAATTCTGCTGAGTTGAGTAGAAGCAGTTCTACAATCTCAGTACAAGAGTTTTTTAAGTTACGAATTATGTGCAACAGGCCACTGGTACCTATATGGGTGAAACTAGATGCCAGAATTCAATGTACTTATTCTTGTACTGACCATGGTGATGAAGCCCAGAAGTAAAGTAGATTTAAGCACATTCCTGTAAGTTTGGATAGACTAGGCCCAGATCTGGGCCTCAAATACTCATTTGTAAAAAAAAAAATAAAAAATAAAAAATAAAAAAAAATACAAAATAAAAAATACTGCAAATTAAAAATCAAATAATGTAACCTGGTATATGTTTGTGCTGAAATCTACAGCTGTCACAAAATATTGTCAACTAAGAAGAATTACTAGTGAACATTTTCCTGAATTTTCTGTTGTCCTTGATTATGACAGGAAGGAAGAAAATACCTACCAAACGTTGATGTTAAATCCACAGAGAGGTCCAATTTGGAGACAGTTAACTTTTTATCCCATTCATTTTAAATAACAGTCTTTGAATAAAGACATTAAAAACTTAATAATGGCAGCATAAAAATGTAGCAAAAATAATTCTGCTGACTCATAAATAAATGTTTAGTTTTATGCTTGGCTGATTTTGCAATGAGGCTACAGAAATGCCAAATCCTTGGTAATTATCCAGTCTCCTAAATATAAGGTATATAACTCTGTCCCAGGGGAATGGAAACGAGGGGATGGGAGACCCCTCCCACAGCAGGACCTGGGGTGGAGACAGCCCATCCCAGCAAGGGAAACCCTGAAGACAGGGTGAACTTACCTTTACCAGGGAGAGAAGGGACAAACAAGCCATGCCAGGATGGAACACCCATGCGGTTCATCAGCTGCTTTTGTCTCTGGCTAAAAGTAGTGCAGGTGAATAGATCACATGAGAACACCGCCCAGCAAAGATAAAAGCTGGTGGTGAGGAAAAAGCTGGAGAGGCACTGCAGGGAGCAGGCTGTGATTGCTTCCGGCACTGGGCAAGGACGGCACCAGCAGCCACTGAGGGACCCAAGGGAGGACCCACTGGAGGGGTCCGTGAACAGTTAAAGAGATGAGGACGGCATCAAGGGACTATGGAGCCACAGATGTTGGAGTTGTGAGTGGGGAAGGCTAAGACCCCACTCCCCTTTTCTTTCCTTGCTAAGTTGCTCTTTTATGGATTACCCTAAAGTGCCCTAAAAAAAAGGATTAGGGCCAAAGGGCGATGCTCAGGGAACAGGAGTGGCTGGGGCAGCACTGCGAGCAGCAAGGCAGCCAGGAAAATCAGGCATAGCAACAGGGACAGTTGAACATCCCAAAGAGACCTAGGACAGGGAAACATCACTAGGGACCCTGCAAACAAGGAGGGCCCAGGAGGCAACATCAGAGGGCAAGCCAATCAACCACCAAGTGGCCATCTTAAGGGCTGGCATGTGGCTGGGGTATAGGGGAGATGGAGCCCCAAGAATAGCCACTTGAAAGTGCAACCAACCCATAAGGGGCTACAAGAGGGAGCCCCACCACTGAAAGGAAGACCCAACTCATGGCAGGCAAGTTTCAGGGTTTCCATCGGGGAGAACGCAAGACCTCGCCAAGACCACAGAAACAAATGCTGCAGCCAACCTGAGGTGCACACTCCAAGGCGGCAAGGGAGCTCCTGTACAAGACCAGGTGGGCACAAACTCATTTACTTGAATGTCTCTGCTTACCTTGAGAGCCAGGTAAAAATATTCTTTACAATTTTGCGAGGATATAAGCTTATACTGTAGTTCAAATTTTATTTTGAATTCTGTAACACCTATCATAAACACCCTATTCCCCTACTACAGAGCTTATAGAATGGCAACAATAATGTTAAGTGTTTATTTTTTTTCACCTTTTACTCCAATTAAGAATGTTTATTTCCTATGGGAACATCTCCCCCGCCCCCCCCCGGACACAAACTTCCACAACGCAACTTTAAAACTTTTCAGTAAATCCTGAGACAAACCTGGGGTTCTAGGGCCTGATTCTGCAATCACTTTACTCATGATAATAAGTTACTTATCCATTATTTGCAGGATTTGTAAACACCAATGACAGCTCTTGCTCTTGAATATGACAGAAAGAAAAAACAATAATAGCAAGCCCAGTACATTTCATCAATGGCTATTTTGGGAAAGAATAAAAATAACCCAAACCATGTTAATCTTACCCTTGGGTACTGAAGTTCCTTGTCTGATGCAAAGCCTTGTCCTACATATATGCAAGGTGAAGCAAAAGATTATTTCTCTCAACGAAGTTAGCTATACTTTTTTATTTTTTTATCTAGGTAGGTGTACCAACCACATCTACTACGATGTTTTCTTACTTCCCAAAGAGTTTGTGTGCTTTTGAACTTATAATGGATTGAAAAGCCTTTATTCAGACGATTATCTTTTTTTGAAAACACACATACGCACATGGAAGGCTGTGTTCTGAAGAGGATGCTAAAGGGGGTGGGGGGGGAGGGAAGGACTGTGGGGTATTAAGGCCTCTCAATTTCCACAAGCACCATTGTGGGGGATGGACTTGGCTTCTAGTTCCAATCAGCCCTCAGTTTAAAAGTCAAGACAAATCCTGTTCATCTTCATCAACATCACTAACAATACCACTAAAGGCTTAATTACATTTTCAGTGACACAAATATGATCCCTTGGTTTTTTACAGGTTATAGATGTAAAAGATTTGGCCCTGGAACACCAGCTTTATGTTGACAATGCACAAGAAAGGAATAGAATCCAACCCACGCACTCTTAGCTGTGTTGGCTCTCTAGGGCTAACATGCTTGTGCAGCTTTTCACTCCTATTTTTGTCACCAACGTAGCAGCTATGACTCTGCATATATTGAGCAGGAAGGTGTCAGTACTTTTCAGAGACCTGAATTTATATCATGTTAAACAATATGTTATGGATATTCTGAGAAAATCTGTTATGGCTTTTTTTTTTTTTTTAATGATTAACCTATTTGGGGAGCTCTAAAACCTGTTGAAATGCATAACAAAAGTCAGAAAATACAAGCAAGTGTTTTGACAGCAGCACATGCTATAAATATATCTTTTAGTGGAGTAAGGATGGTCCTTCAGTTGAGTCACTGGGTGAAACAAGATCTTGATTCTATTCTTGGTTCTGCCAAAGTGGGCTAGTAAGTTTTGTGACTCCATTTTTATATCTCTAGAACAGAGATAACATTGTTAAGCAGTTAAATCATTAGTTTTCAGAACACCTTTCAGACTCTTAACAGAACTGTTACTTAAACTATTCAAGTCAAATCTTACATACTGTATTTACTCAAATATAAGATGACCCTGAATATAAAATGACTTCCCAATAATTAGATTCTGTATATGGAAAACTTACAAATTTGATTCAATTTTTCAGGTGTAGTAGTTTCACAGTTGCTACGGTCAGGAGGGACCTGAACAGATCATCTAGCCTGACCCCCTGCCACAGGCAGAAATGAATGCTGGGTTCACAAGACCCCAGACAGGTGACCATCCAACCTCCTCTTGAATTTGCCCAAGGTAGGGGCAAGGACCACTTCCTTAGGAAATTGATTCCAGATTTTGGCCACCCTAACTATAAAATATTGCCTTCTGATCTCTAACCTAAACCTATTCTCCATCAGCTTATTACCATTGTTCCTTGTCCCCCCAGGTGGTGCTGGAGAGAAAAGGGCTCTGCCTATTTGCTGTTGATCTCCCCTGATGAGCTTGTAGGCAGCCACAAGTTCCCCCCTCAGTATAGAATCTGATTGTTGGAGGTTTGCCTTGAATTTGTCCCCCTCCCACTGTTACAACAGGGCAAGTAAATCTGGAGGGTCAGGTAGCCCCCTTGCTCTCTGAGCTCCCCCTAACTTCTGCCCGCTACAGCCCTTTCTCCCCCTGCTTATTATCAGACCCTGCTCTCCCCAAGCACATGGGGCATGTCTACACATGCATATTTAATGTGCATTAGCCTGATTTAAGGTGCATTAAAGGCATGTGTCTATATGTGTTCACCCTTCATGTGCCTTAAAAAATGGTGATTTGAGGCTATTTGAGCCTAAATTTGATACCTGCATAAAGCAGGTATCAAATTTATATAAACATAGTTAAATTGCATTAGTGAACATGTGGACATGCTAATATGCATTAATGCAATGTGTGCCCATTGACTTGGGACTACATT